GTTTGCAGAGGTGTGGAAAGAGCTGCAGGTTGAGATGGATAAACTACTTAAGACCAGATGTGAAGCGGGGTTCATTCAGTGCGGAAGAAGAGAGAATAATAATTGAAGTTCAGAGAATATTAGGGAATAAATGGGCTCAGATTGCTAAGTATTTGCCTGGTAGAACTGATAATGAAGTTAAGAACTTTTGGAACTCCTCCATCAAGAAGAAGCTCATTGCACAGGCCTTCCAATCCCCTACTCAGAATCTCCTCATCACCTCTCCCAATCGAAGCCATAATACTAATATTTGTAATAATAATAATACCCATGTTAACCCACAACCACGCTTGATGTCATTTGAATATCCTTCTAATAATTCACCATGTTGTTTCTCTATCTTGAATCAAATCTCCACTACGCCACCCTTGGAGAGCCATAAAAATATCGTTTGGAGTGCTACTGCAACCACTACTGAGTCAAGAGATCAGTTGGCAAGCCCATCTCCATGGGAGTACATTACTACTCATCATGATCATCTTCAGCCTGGGATCTTCACCTCTTCTCCATTGACTCAATCTGGGTTTGAAACGGCTTGGATTTCTGGTGGCGGGTTTCAACCCAGGGATCTACATGAAGAGAAGATGATTAAGTGTCAAGGTTTGGATTCTGAGAAAGCTGATGTCTGCAGCAGCTCGATGGGTGCTTTCCCTGATGAAAGTCTTGAGTTCGATATTGATTTTGTAGAATTGCTAAACTGCTAGTAGAATACTTTTGTTACAATAATCGAGAAAAGTCCCGCACAGGGATTCATTACTTGTATGAAATTGGGTTACAGAGTTCACTACTTGGTATGTATTAAACCCATCTCTTTGCCGTTTGAAACTTACAGTATTACTCTCTTCTATATTTGTTACCAGCTTGTTTTTGTTTTTCTCTCTATTTGTATATTTACCTAGGCAAAATACGTTTGTTTCTTACTATCAATTTAGAAGATAATTAAAAGTATATTTTGTATTACTTGTGTCGCCTGTATGTCATATATAAGTGTAAAATACAAGAGGGAGAATTAAATATAGTGGATGAGAATAGACAATTAATTACATTAAAAATATAATAAGGTTATAATATGTTAAGACTAGTTCTTAAAATTACATTTCACACGTATATAAATATTATCAGATCAATCAATAATTCAATCGTAGTCAGGGATTTTTTTCTCTCAATGATTTCTCTTGACGATATTTCTCTCAATGAAAAGAGCGAGGCTCCATCGTGCTCGGACGACAACTGGTGGACAAAAAAAGCAAGAATAAGAAAGGAAACTGTTGACCGACCTCCAGAAGGAGAGGAGGGGACGGAGCATACACCAGATGAGAGTATGGATGAGGTAAGTGATATGGACTTGATAGCATCTGAGGAGGGCAACCGTGAAAGTACCGCTCCCAAACAGAATAGTGCTCTTGGAAGTTGGGGAGAAGACATGGTATCATTCAAGAACAAGCTCACCAACACAAAAGTCCNAAAGTCTCTAGCGGCTGACATGAACATTCTAGTTAATGGATTTGAAGAATAATTATTACTTGGTCAAATTTAGTGACTCGGATGACTTCATGCACATTCTAACCGGTGGTCCTTGGGTCATCTACGGACACTATTTGACAGCACAGCCATGGACATCTTCCTTCTCAGTGGGCAAGGATCGAGTGATGTCGGTGGTGGCTTGGGTCCAGTTCCTAGACTACTAATTCAATATTACCACAAAAGCATTTTGCGGTCGATTGCCAAGGTAATTGGAACAGTTGTGCGAATCGATTATAACACGGAAGCCATAAAGAGAGGAAAGTTTTCCCAACCTGCTGTTTCGGTGGACCTCACGAAACCGTTAATATCCAAAATTATGATCGAATGACACTTACAATGGATTGAGTATAAGGGCTGACCTATTACATGTTTTGAATGCAGGTGTTATAGCCACCTATGAGAACATTGTCCTAGGATGGTTAAGGACGCTCCGGGGGAAGGGGAAGGAGGAAAAGAAGAGACCAACGGACTAATGGAACCATCGGTGGTGCTAAAAGAAAAATCCAGCACCTGGATGCAGGTGACCCGTCGGGGAAGAAAAATTGATAGGAAAGGGATCTTAATTGGAAACAAGTAAATCTCTAGGAATCGTGGAAGAAACAGTTCTAGATCGAGATTTGATCTGATTGCCGAAATGAGAGATGCTAATATGGACTCTGATGGATTAAATGTGGATTTAATGGGGGCAAAATTTCAGGAGTTGGAAGTGGGAGTGTTAGGAGGAAATACTGAATAGAGCAATAAAGACAGGCAGAATAAAAGGGTTTTGGACGTGCTGGGCTGAGCCGTTTAAGCAAGAGCCCGAATAATCATTCTATCTCCACACCTAACTTGGACCAAAACAATGGGCCAAGGAAAAACTCGAGCTTGGTTTAAATTAAAACCCAATAAACGGCGGCCCAAACTGTCTTGATCGGGGCCGAACAGTTTAACGAGCATAATCTGGGCCTCTTTTTTAGTCCCAACCCACACGTGATGATCCACCACATTAGCTCCATTCTCAACAAACAGAAGCATTCCGCAATCTGAATTGATGAGGAACGAGTCGGGCAAGGCAGTGTCATCACATCGACTACCGCTGTTAGCTCCAACGCACATCCCTCAAATAATAGTGTCCAGAAAGCTTCTTATTTTCCAGAAAAACGATCGCCCAACATCAAGATCAATAAGGCCTCTGAACCCAAACTCATATTGAAGAAACATTGCGAGGAGGTTATGGACGCATCAAAGCTCGCGAGCACTACTCTCCTGGATAGGGCACCGACCGAGAATGAGGCTAAGGCCAGAACCGACCAGCTCGACATTGCTATTAGCAACGTTCTCTGACCTGGCTGCGTAAGGTTTGTTGTTGTTCCAATCCCCTTTGGGTTGTTTTCGATTGTCTCTTCTCCCTCTCATACTTGTCCATGGAACTCAAAATACTCATATAGAATTGTCAGGGTGCGATGAGCTCCAATTTTAGCTGGGTGTTTCTGGGTTTTGCCCAATAATACAGGCCTGGGATTGCAGCCTTAATGGAACCACGTACTATCGAGGAAAAAACTGACAGGATTATTCGCAACTTGGGCTTTGACTCTTTTTATTGTGTGGAAGCTCTTGGGTTTTCTAGTGGTATCTGGTTGTTCTGGAATGACTTGATTTGTGTCAATATCTTGGTTAATAGCATCTAATTCATTTACACTGAGATCCAATGGAATGATAATGACCAGAGGATTATTTTTACTGCGGTTTACGGGAGCCCCCAAGGGCAGAAATGTTGTCACTTATGGGACTATCTCAACTAACTTAGTAGAATTATTGATGAACCTTAGTTGCTTGCCAGGGACTTTAGCCCAAAACTGGATAGTTCGAATATGCGGGGTAGGGGTATGAGAAGTAGTTAAGGGTGCCCTAATTTCTTCCAGTTTATAAGCCACAATGCTCTCCCCAAAGTGGACTATGTGGGACCTACTTTCACTTAGAGAAGAGGCACCCTCCTTCAACACATCAACAGGGCTCTTGCTAACATGTCGTAGCTAAGTATCTTCCCCAAGATGTTGGTGCAACACCTTCCTAAAATTCAGTCGGATCACCTGCCACTTTTGATTAATACCATGGTGAGTCACACGCAGAGCCAGAAACCACAACCTTTCTGGTTCCTTGTGGCATGGCTTACCCATCTTGCTTACACTCGTCCAAAGTAGCTGACATGGTGGTAACTCCGTACAAGCCACCCTTAATCACTTCTCTAAGTAAGCCAAAGACTGGAACATTATCGTATTTAATCATATTTTTAAAAGGAAGAGACATTTAATGGCTCGTATCTCTGGCATCCAAAAGGTGCTAGGACAATCCCACATTGAGTACCTCATTGATTTAGAGACGACCATTCGCAAAGAACTTAAGGATGTGTTGATGTAGGAAAAATTGTACTGGATGCAAAAATCACGATGTGATTTCATTTTTTTAGTGATAAAAACACGATGTATTTCCATGTGTGCACCATGGTTCACCGTAAACGAAATAAAATTGTTATGCTCCAAGTTGCTAAGGGAAATTAGATCTCCAACGATGATCATCTCAGACACATAGTTGCGAGTTTCTTTGAGGAACTTTACACTAGAGATACACTGGGAGGTCTGGCTTTCCAGGTCCAAGGTAGATTTCTGTCTCTTACGATAAACATGTTTAACCTGCTTAATGCACATGTTATTAAAGATGAGGTTCCCTTGGTCTTATTTACCATGAAACCTCTCAAGGCCCTTGGGCCGGATGGGCTTTACGCAGCTTTTTTTTAGCACCACTAGGAGGTTGTTGGGGACTCGATTTGCGAGATGGTGATAAAAATCTTTCAGGAGGCGGAGCTGGAGAAGGACATTAACAAGACTTTAATCACCTGGATCCCCAAGGTTGCGAGACCCACTACAATTAAGGATTTTTGTCTTATTAGCTTGCTTAATGTGTCCTATAAAATTATCACTAAAGTCGTTGCCAACAGGCTCAAGAGGATCATGCTTAGCCTCGTCAGCGTTACTCATGCAAGCTAAGTGGAGGGACGAAGTATCTCAGACAATATCATTA